GTCTGACCCCCGGCTCCAGCTGGCTCTGCTCATGACATGCCCACCATTTGTTGTTGCCCTTTCCTCCAGGTGCTGTATTGGTCAGCTGTCTGGAATGACTTTTATGTCACTTTCCAATGCTGAATTATCACTGAAAAATGATAATCATTATTATGCACCAATCATTAATATGATTATTATTTTCTATGTATTTGACACAGGGCCTTATGCTGCAATAAATATTGACATTTTTGTGCCCTTTGATATGTTGTATTTGCTGTAACAGACTAAGGATGCAATCCTGTATACACATACGTATACCTGGCTGGAAGTATTCTCATGACCCCTGTAGGACTTACCTTTAAGATACATGGACAGGACTGCATGCAGCGAAACTATCCCTCTAGAATGTATCATTACCTTCTCCCTCAATGTTTATTTTATTGGCTTGCATGCACAAGCTTTGAAAGGAAAATATACTTACTGCCAGGATTGGTGGAAAGTGCACTGAAAAGCATTAGCATTGGCTATTTTTACCCTTCATACCATTTTTAATGATACCTTATTTAAAATGCAACTATGCTTTAAAAAAGACTCTTAGAGAATACTGATCTGTACCTCTGAATGAAAAAAAATAATGTAAGGTAAAGCTCAGGTGCAATTTGATACTATCATAAACTCACAGGAAAGGTGATCTTTATCATTTTCATTCTATGGTGTTTGTATATTTTATCTTTCTTGGTTGCTCTGCAGTTTTATTTTGAAGCAGTAGATGACACAAACTGTCTCACTCAATCCAACATACTCCCAAGTTTGTTACCCTGACATAAAAATTCCAATGTTATTTCTATGAGTAAACCAAATCAAAACGGGGGGAAAAAACCAATCCTCATTATACTCTTTCACTCCCTTTTTTCTTGCTTCTAGCTCTTTCTTCGGAGTTAATAAGAGTATAATAAATTTACAAGTAATGTTTAACTTTTGGTTACTTTTTAATTTGTAATTACGTTCCTCATAAAACAGATAAACAACCAGATCTTGTATGGGAGAAGTCACCAGAATGCTTCTGCGATAATCAAAAGTGCACCATCAAAGGTCAAACTGGTATTTATACGGTAAGTCATTAACAATTGCACTCATCATGTCAGTAATTAATAGCCTGAACCAGGAGGTACAAATTAAGAGAGATTCAATTTCAAAATAAAATTGAAGACTGCTAAAAAATTTCCAGGGGAAATTTTAAGTGGCTTGTGATTTGCTACGTATTTTCTTTGATTTTAGTATAAGCTTTCTCATTATGATGTTTCCCTCAACTGAATCACCTGAAATGCAAAATGTTTTTAATGTTTTACTTTCAGATGTTAGTGGTTATAAAAAGCTACTCTATTCCGTTCATATCTTCAGGCAGGGCATCAAAATAATCAGACACATTCTCTTCTTTTTTTCTATGGGTGGTATGACTATGAGAGCAGGAAATCCTCTTTACTAACTAAAGTCTGGTTTGTCATGATTGTTGGGAGTAAGAAGGATACTACCTTGGGCAATAATTCTCATGGGCTGCTGGCTGCCTCTCAGAATTGTCAGAACCAGAAACTGCAGGAGATTGCAGTAAAAGTGCAGAGGATGGGCTTGGTCATGATTCTGAGATGAGGGAGGAGAGTGTAATTATCTCAAGGCCAGATGCTTCACTGAGCCAGGCAGTTCCTGAGAATGGCCAAGATGTGCAGTCATTGGGAGGGACCTCTGAGAATGAGGAATTCTCAGATGCAGACCAAGCCCACCCCTCTGCGCTTGACCCCGTGGATCAACTGAATGAGCAGCATGTGGAGGGCACGTTCATTTTCAGAAGGCCCCTCCTGAAGGGGTGGGGGCCAGGAATGTTCATAAGGAGAGTTCCTGGAGGTAAACTCGAGATTGGGTTCAACAAATGGCTCTGGCATGCTCAGGGATCCGTTCTGGGTGATTTGTAGTTGGAACCAGTAAAGGACATTTTGCAAGGAAAACGGTCTGTGTCTGGTGATTGTTTGAAGAAGAAACCTCAGTTTACAACAATAATAAACTCTACAATGGTATATGCCTTGTCTGTGTTAAAGATGAGGAAGTACGTATGAATACGTCAGTTCTACTACGAAAAATAATTATTGAAACCAAAACCATCTCTTCCTTTGTTTCAGAGCCAGGCTCCCCAACCTGTGGGAACAGGCTGAGGTGCCCCCAAGCTATTTTCCTGCACTACAAGTGCGCCTGGAGCCAGGGAAAGCCAAGGAGAGGGAGTTATGAAGACGAAGAGCCAGAGAATGTGGGGTAGGGAGAAAAAATAAAGAAGAGGAGCTAGAGAGAGATAACAGTTAAAGAGATAGTCAGAAGAAGTGGAGGGGAGAGAGGGGAAGCCAGATAGAGAGAAGCCAGTGTAGTAGTACATACGTACATACAGTTCACATTCATGTACGTGCAGAAACATACATAAGGGGGACATTCTCAACATTTATGCCATGCACCCACCCCATTACATCAGCCAGTTTGTGGTGTTGTCCCAGACACTTAGTCAAAATGCCAAATGTGCCACAAAGTGTAGAAGATTAATATCAGTACTGCTAGATAAGTACATGAGCCATTGCACAGCAGCAGTATCACACGCTTACATTGTAGGCAGCAGAAGGAAGTGAAATGAAGGAAGTGTTGCAAAGATACACAAGTGGGAGCTCCAGTGTGGTGCCTGTGGATGCCAGTGTGCCCCCAGATACCTCTGAGGCTCCCTGCTCCTATTTTTTTGTTATTTCTTCAGGGTTTTGTTATTTTGTATTGTTATTTTAACTAAAACTTTCAAAGTGCTGTCCTCCAGTGCAATTTTTATTTGAGTTTGAATGGGTTTTTTTGGATCTCAGTCCCCGCTTTTGGTTTATGCTTGCTTCTTGAACCACTTACCAGACTGTATGTTGAAGTCCTTGTAGGGATCAGCTACAGAATTAAGCAGGATATGTGCCTTTGGGCTTCTATTCACTTGTTTGCATCCTGGCTGGATATTATAGAATGATTCCTCTTCAAGGAAAACACTTTTATGGCATACATCAGTTACTGCTAAACCTGTTCCTACACAATTGACCTTATGGTTTTCTATTATTTGTACTTTGGTAAGATACTAATATATTTTCCAGTATTTTGAAAACCAAAGTACACTTGCTACTTCTGTATACATCTTTTATGGTATCTCTGTCTTTTAGCCAGAGATGGGGGCTCCTTCTTCCTTAGTCTGAGCTGGGTTAGTATAGTCTGGTGGCCAAGAAACGTCAGCTGTCCTGTGCTTTTGGCTTCTTGGCTAGTGTCACTTGGAAGAAACACAACAGAGGTTATGTTTGGTATCTGTGCCTGATCACTGAGAAGAAAACCTAAATCCGTACTCAATGCACTTGTGTCTATAACTGAAAATATATCTTCAAGTGTAGGTCTGGATCTTAAAAAGTAAGAGAGTGGCTATGGTAGAACAGCAATTATAGTAAAATGAAGAATTAGTTGCTATCCTTGGGAGTGCAAGGCAGTCAGATGAGATTAATGTTCTTGCTTCTGGCTTCCTCATACTTTACCCAACTGCTGAAAATTAAATGTCATGTATAACATCTCACTCTCCATTACTTAATTGCATTGGAAAATGTGTCTGGGGAAAGCTGCTCAGAGTATAGTCATGATAAAATACATGAACTGAATTCAAAATGGATTGGTTTTGATCCTATATTGCAAAAGATTAGATTCTGTCACATCGCATCTACAGAAATTGTTTATGTTTCTGCTTTAATTAAATAAAATTTAATGTAGTCCATAATAAATAGTAGTTAGTTTGTCATGAGAATAGTCTCCCACTCAACTCCAACCTGTTCTTGCTTTGTCCTGATTGTTGAAATTAAATGGTTATGAATTGGGACTCCTTATACTTGAATGCTCCTCAGAGTGAGCATTATGATGGCAGCAAAGGGCAAATGCCTTTTTTTAATGCAGAATGATCCATAACTATTTATTATCTAAATCTTCCAGTTCTAAAACAGCATACTTTTAAGGTAAGAACTAAATAAAAATGATACTCTTAACTGATAAAAGTCAGCAGTGGTAGCAATTGACGATCTGATTATAACCCCAACCAGTATTGTACTTTTCCCTTACATAAAGGGGAAAAAATGTTCCTTACAGAGAAAAGCAAGAAAACATAGTTCAGAAGGAACATAGATGTTTAGAAGGAACAGCAAAAAGTAGCTTGCAACAAAGACTCCAGCCAGGATCCCATCCCTTAGTGTTATGATATAAACCATGGGTCCTCAAACTACGGTCTGGGGGCCGGATCTGGCCCGCCATGCCCATTTGGACCCGCCGTGTGTGAGCCCGTTGCTGCCCACCTTGTCCCACACGCAGGGAGATAGCAGTTAGCTTGCTCGGAGAAAACAATCTCCAAGCGAGCAAGCCACTGCCTTGTGCGCATGCCTTGCGGCGCATGCCCACCCCACCTCCCCAAGCCTCCGCTCGCTGCGCCCCGCCACATGCCCTGCCTCTGCCTCAGCGTGCGCACCTGCATGTGCTGCCCCCGCCCCTCACCAGCCCGCGTGCACCACCAGCACCGCCTTTCCGGCCCACGCCCAACACTGGCACCTTTCAACTGGCCCCCTGCTGAGAATGTTTGAGGACCCCTGATATAAACTGTTAGTTATCATGTCATATGGATTCTCTCTGTTGGCTTCTAGTGAGTCATGCTGTTGTAATGCAGAGGCACCACAAGACAATATGGCAGCCATGCTGTACTATACATTAAAACCATCCACATTTTGTCAAGTCCTGTTGCTACTTCACTGCTGCTGCTTTTTTCTTCACCTGAATCTCAGACTTTTAATGTTAAGCCAACCCTCACTTTTCTCCCCTAGTTTCCATTTGAATGTACTTATCACTGTATAACACACTAACATACAAGGATAAAGAAATCTGGCATCTACATTTAGTGTGGGTGTGAACCACTCTGACACATTTTTCACCTTCAATTAACATCCTAATTTTCTCCTATATCTTCCTGACTGGTGTTTATAGAAAGATGGGAAGTTTTACTCCCAGTGATAAGGCTCTTTCAGCTGAAGAACCAAATTCCATTTCAGAGAAGCTCTCAAGAGCTGCATTCAAGGGAAGGGCCAAAAGCAAAAGGAGTGGGAACAGATACAAAAACATAATAGCATATTTTACATTAAAGCTCTTGCTGCCAATAGCTAAGCCTTAGAATAGACACTTCAAGCTTTTAGAATGGTGTGGGAGAAACATCCCCAAATTTCCTAAAAGCTGGAAAACCACCAAATTATCATCGGAATGATCCAAGGAATTCTTGGAGACCATACTGAGAGCCTGTTAAGGATGGATTTATTGTGTTTCTGGACCTCTGCCTTATTCAGACACATTAAACAAAGGCAGGTGTTACCTATAAGCATTCTTCCACCACACTTGGCTGTGCTTTCCTCATTACCTCTCACTGATGCTACCAGTAATTTCTGCTAGGTTCTATCCCAGCTGTTCTGCCAGGGCCACAAACATAGGCAAATTTCTGTCTTCCAAATCTGGTTAATTGTAAGCTGGGAGTGTATCTGGATAGAGGCTGCTTGACTTCTAGCACCAATATCCCATTTTTTCTTGTTGACAGTGTGGCATCAGACTCCAAAATGTATTGGAAATACTTAGCAATCTCAAGAGCTTTAATGAAATGATTTAATGAAAAGACTAGAAGCCGTTCTAGAAGTCTTAGTATGACTAATTAGTAACTGCCCTTATGCATATCCTATGCAGAAAGCACTTCTATCAGGGATAAGCTTGAAAGTTGCCTCAAGTTCATAATGTACTTGTCTAGCATGTAAAAAATATGATGTGTACACAGCTGACCATTGTTTTTTTAAACAAACTTGCAAACTTAAAGGCACATTTTTGCACTGATTTTAATGTCATATGTCAAAGCATATGGAATGCTCATATGAGATATTTAGCATTCCATATGAAAGGAATGTTTTATAGATATCTGAAGTCCCTTATAAAGTCACTTGTATCTAAATTTACCTGGGTACCATTGTTATGAAAGTTAAAGTTGGGTGGTCCTAGTCAACAG